AAAAAAATGCATCAAGATTGGCCCAACTAAACTAACAAGGTGGTCTTTAGGTTCGAGCAAAAGATGGATGTTTAGGGCCTGAAGCCCATGAGTGGAATACCTGCTGGACCATTCCTGAATAATATAAATTAGAGCCTCGGATGATCCGCTTATTTTCGGTTGCGTTTTCAGGGCTGCAAGTTGCCGATGCCGATTTCTCAGAGTTCGTTTGTAGTCCGGGATAAACAGTATTATCCAATCCCATCCTATCTTGAGGTCCAAGCATGACCTCCAGGGCCTGAGATTCTGGCTTTCGGTTTTTCTACCTGTTGTCCCTACAGTTTTTATGTATTTGAAATTTAAATGGGTTGATGTAGATGGATGTGATGATGATTTTTTTCCGGAGATGATCGAAGCTGAATATATTGTACAATTTGCTCTAATTATTGATTTTGTTAGCTCCGGAAGTCAAGTGTTTTGTTTAAAAAGCTTGATTTTTTTTTCCCTGAAAACGCTTCACCATCTTCGTTCCCATACGAAACTTTGCCTTGAAGCAAGGTTCATTGTGTTGCTTTTTTTTTTTGTTTCTCTTTCCTTGTTTCTTGGGAGAACACTGGGGCAACCACATTTGAAATCGATACTCCTAGTTTATGCATTCCTGAAATTGTTTCCCGTGGGAGTGATTTTGAGAAGGTTCTTGTGAGCAAACCTTTATGCATAAAAAGGCATGGAAAGCAGCTTCACTATTTAAAGCTTCAATATTCTTTAAAAGGGTGTCAACTATGGACTTCAATATTCTTTAATATTAGTGTTGCGATAAGAAATTATTGTATTCAGTCTTGGACTCCCACTACTTGGTCTATAAGAAAGCATGGTAATTAGCACCTTAATCTCATTCAATCTAAGGATCAGTATCCATAATTCAAAAGTATTTCTATGTGGACATGACCAAAAGAGACCATCTAGTGTTCATGACTAAGACTGCAGCAGGACATGGCAATTGGCAAGGAGTGATCTGCTTCCCTGCAATCCTTTGAGTTTGTTGTGGCAAGTGAATCTGTGGCATTACTGATGTCGAAGAACAAAGATGCTTCTGTCTGTAGTCTGTTCTTAGCAGAAGCACTCTAGTTGTTGCCATCCACCCATTTATCTGTAAAACAAGTTGTGAAAACTCCTGCATTACCAAGGTGAAATCATTAGGCACTACATTCCCTGAGCAGATAAGAGTTTACATAAAAAGCACAAACCCAAAAACAACCAAGTAATCTTTATTGCCATCTTTCTGCTTTGTGATTCTCATAACTAATAACTCAAGTCATTTCTTTCTTGCAACGTACCATATTGATGCTTTTGAAGGAACATCAGTAGTGATCATGGGAAACTTATGAGCAACCAGACAGCAGAAATCAAATAATCTGCAAAAACATAATTAAGAGAATTTGAAAAGCTTATGTTAACTTACAGCAATTGGGTTCAAGAATATACCTGTCATTGTTTTCCTACATGAAGGAACACTACTTGGTGAGAATTGATATCCTGAGGTTTGCATTTTCGGCTATGCCTAAGCTGCAGAAGGGAAGTCCATAAGCTACTCTTCTCTTGTCTGACCCTTGAGTTGGTGAATTGCCATGCAAGTAGCGAGATATTGGGACACCCCTCCTGCTGGGAGCAAAATTGAACACCTACAAAAAAACTTGTACAATTCAGATTCAAGCAGGCAACAAACTTAGGTATATCATAAGAGTCTTCTCAAAAGTGTAGGCATGGTGCCTAATTAAGACTTATAAAAGATAAAGCAAACATACCAGAATCATCTTTCACTGGATTAAAGCTGCTTTTGTCCTTTCCTCCAGCTATTGTTTATTTATTTGATGATGACCTGTTAAGAGTTAAAGTCAATGACCAATGCAAAATAATTACTCAAGTTGCATTCAATTGATAGTTAACTTTAGTATAGCTGAAATTTAAAAAAAAAAAGAAAAAAAAAAAACTGTGGGATTGAAGCTATATATAAGGCTGACTGACTTACCATTAAAGCCGAGCCATCAAAAACAATGTAACAAATCAAAGATGCCTTGATGTACTCATGAGCTAACTTAAGCAAACTCGGTTATAACTGCACTAAGCAAAATTGAGCATCCCCAAGAACTCGCTGTCTGATCCAAATTTTTGAAGAACATGAGTTAATTTTTATCATAAGACCTTGCTAAGTGCTAACTTAAGACACTACATGCTAGAAGTGCAATGCCATAATACTTAATAGACTCATAAAAGATACAGAAAGAATACCAGAGTGATCATCTTTCACTTGTTGAAGCTACTTTCCACCCATTCCTCTGCTATTACTTGCTTATTGGATGAGTATCTCTTATGTGTTTTAAGCCAAATGACCTAAAAGTATACTGATATTCGTACACACAGACAGGCATGCACAGGTATAATAGCCACATTATAATTTAATAGAAAGTAGGAATAGTCCTAACCATCTTTAGTGTTTTGCATTGTCCCACAAAAATTCAAACAAATGATGGCACGTACACGGTATCATAACTACAATCTACAAGCAGAGAAGTTCCAGAAAAGAAATGTCATAGATGAAACAAAAGCTTGAATACAAAGATGTCCCCACAGTTGCCAAGAGCATTTCTCAGCACCCAAATGAAGGTTC